TGTCATCTTTTAAGATTTTAAATAGTTGAACTGGAATGCCATTACCTCCACTGGCCTTGTTGTTAGCCAGGCTTTCTAAGGCCCACTTCACTCAACTCTCCAGGATGTCTGGCTCAAGGTCAGCAACCACACTATCTGGGTTGTCCGGGACATCCAGATCTTTTTGGTATAATTCCTCTGTGTATTCTTGACACCTCTTCTTGATGTCTTTTGCTTCTGTGAGGTGCCTACCATTTTTGTCCTTTATCATGTCCATCTTTACACAAAATGTTCCTTTAATATCTCCAATTTTCTTGAACCGGTCTCTGGTTTTTCCCTTTCTATTATTTTCCTCTATTTCTTAGCACTGTTCGTTTGAGGAGGCCCTCTTGTCTCTCCTTGCTATTATTTGGAAGTCAGCATTCAATTTTCTGTAACTTTCCCTATCTCCCTTGCATTTAGCTTCCCTTCTCCTCTCTGCTATTTGTAAGGCCTCGTTGGACAGCCGCTTTGCTTTCTTGCATTTCCTTTTCTTTGGGATGGTTTTTGTTGCTGCCTCCTGGACAATGTTATGAGCCTCCATCCATAGTTCTTCGGGCACTCTGTCCACCACATCTAGTTCCTTAAATCTGTTCTTCACTTCCACTGTATATTCATAGAGATAAAAGTAGTAAAGACTAAATGCCACTATCCGTTAGATTAAAGTTGGGTTTTTTTAAAAAACAAAAAGATGATTAAGCACTTCAGAGATGTGCTGTGTCTACCTCCTTGTGGCAATCTGGCAATGGGTTATGTGGCTTTATTTCTCTTGAACACAGATACATAATCCCAGGAATGTTGTGAGGTATTGAGGCAAACATGTCAGCTCATGGGGAGAGATAAGAAGCTGTGCTGAGTGCCAGAGCTCTTCCTCTCAAGCCATATATAGATTCCCCTCTAGCTTTTGAGCCATTAGCCGGCACTGCCCACACACTTTGATTCTTTTCTTCTCACTGCAAATGTAATAATCGGAAACTTGACACCAGCAGTTTTTCTTAAAGGATGAAAGCTGAGACTCGTGATCTAGAAATGACAGCAAATCCCATGCTGACATTGCAGAGGTAGTGAAAACGTGGCACAGATCTGGTGGAAGGTGGTTGCAGAGCTATGTTAGGAGGACTCAAGTCCCCTGAGGGAAACAGCAGGACTCAGAGATTCCCTTTCCTGCCTCCTCTTCCTTCCTGAAGCTGCTTCCCCCCCCTCACCTTGTGCTTATCATCAACACTGCCTGCTATTAAAGGGTGAAAAAAAGGACTCTGATATGTCTAAGCCTATGTACAACTGTCACTCTGTGTACACCTGTGTATATGTATGCATCCACCAGGGTGTGTGTGTGTGTGTGTCACAAAACAGAGTTGGCACTGGAATGAATGTGCATGCCTATACACATGCAAGCTTTAGTTAGTATTTATGCCTGTAGGAAGAAGCATGTTTGTATGTACTATACTGGATAAAGCTAAATTCTTTCTGTTGCATTTCTGGCTGCATCCAGGCCACCCCTGTGTCTCGCCTCCCACTACATGCCCAGCCCTGCCCCACCCTGCCTATACTGATCTGACATATAACTAATGTGTAGTTTGATTGGAACCCTCAACCCCCACCACTTGTATTTCTTCCTTTGTCCTAGTGTGGCTCCCTAGCACAGCTCATTCAGCAGGTAAGACCAGCGGTTGGCTCCTGCCATAAAGAAGGGCTGCATTTTTCTGGATGTTGGACAGAGAAACCCACTAGCCCCATCCAGCCAATGGCAGAATGATAGAAGTAGAAGGAACAAAAGACCTGGTACTAAGGCAAAACCCAACAATATGTCATTCAAACTATAATAGGCATGTGCACTGTCCAAAGCAGAATGTTCACGGCAAGTCATATTGCATGTTACTTGAAAGGGAAAAAAACCCCTAAATCCCACCTTATAGGTAATATATACATAGACACACATGAGAGCCACAAGCACAACTGTCTTGGGAAAATAATTCTGCCCTAAGTCTTTGGCCCAGAATTTAATAGATCGATGTGGCTTTCCCTCCCCACCCTTTGTTCCTGTGACATGGATAACTGAACCTCAGCTGCTACTGTGGGCAGCTATCGTCAAGGCCACTTTTCCTTGTTCTACTGGGCCGCTGCATTCTTGTGGCTCAGGTCCCTTGACTTCCAAGGTTCCTCTACCTTAGCAAAACTTGCCATGTTTTGTTCTCCAACCGTAGCAGCCTGCCCCATGGTGGATACCGGAGAGAGGAAGCCAACACCACCAGCAGCAGCAAAAACAGCATAGATGCCCTCCACCCACCTACGCAGAAACCTCCCCTTCAGCGTCCAGTGTCCCCTCGAGCAGGGCAGTGTCCAGTCCAACCCTCTGGGGCCAGCCGTGGCCCCATTCCACCTGTGGCTCCTCGCAGAAAGCTGCTGATGCCCCCTGAGTTCCAAGACACGGCGTCAGAGGAGTTTGATGAAAAGCTGAAGCGCCCCAAGTCGTCCGCCTACTCTCAGGCTGGAACAGGGGAGTCACGGCCCCAGACACCCCTGAGTGAAGCTTCCAGTCGAGTGTCTGTCCTCCGCCCATCACCCAAGCTGCCACGGTCAGGATCTAAGATCTTTGACAAGCTCAAGTTCTTTGAGGAGCGCCGGAAAAGTCTGGAGCAGAATGAGAACCCTTTTGCGGGCCACACATGGCTGCCCCTTCGCAAGACACGTTCTTTTGACCAGCCTGGCTTGGATGATGCCAGTCCCTTTATCTCAGCTGACTCTCATGAGGACTTTGTGGACGATACCCACTCAGAATTGGGAGGCGTGGCTTTCCGTCGCCGGGCGTTCCAACAGAAAGCAGCCTCCTTGGATGAGCGTGGCCGCTTCTCTAGTCACGTGTATGCCTTGGAGCATAAATTCACAGAAGAGCTGGGGCGCATCAAGCGCACTGTCTCTCAGCAGCAGCTACGACGGTCACAAGAATTATTCAGGTCCCCATCTCCACGTACCTCCAAGGAACCACCTGCCCCCAAGGTTCCACCACCACGTAAACTCAAACCACTAAAGGCTTTGCCACGTGCTGAGAATACACATGGTGTGCAACAGCTGGTCTTGTCCAGCGTGGGACTAATAGGGCCAAGAGATGACCCCAAGGGGACACAAAAGCCTCTGCTGAAGAGTGGAGCCACATCTGAACAGACAGGAGAATCAAACAGAGGTCAGAAGGAAATTGAGATGAATGGACAGGATATGCGGCGAAAGGTGGAACAATGCCCACTGATCCACGCAGCCCCACTAGGTCGAACAGATCTATTGCGATCTGGGCTTTCAGATGGTAATGAATCTACAGATGGAGGCTCTGTGAACACATTAAAAGGGAGTCAGGAGTCCAAGGGTCCAAGTGAAGCCTTACCTGCCCAGAAACATGGACATTCTCTGTCCTGGGCCAAAACAGAACCAGGCACAGACAGAAGCAGGGCAGGGACCCACGGTACAAGCAGAGAATCTGACAGAAAGACTGGAAAAGTGACAGAGAAAAAGGACATTGCACTGCAGTCTCAGGAAGGAAAGAGTATACGAAACAGAGGCAAAGGCCGCCGAACCCGACGAATGTCACCAGAACCAGGTATGGAATATGGATGTCTATTATGTTCTCAGCAAAGCCAGGCAATAGTACTCTGCTCTGTGTTTTGGGTTTGAATCCCGTCATCCTCCTAGAAAAAAATGAAACAAACATATACCCTAGTGCTCTTTTTTCCAGTTTAGCTTACATCTTTAGATGTAGGGCCTAGGTTCCCAACCTTTGTTACTCGGATGTTTTTGAACTGCAACTCCCAGAAACCCCAGCCAGCACAGCTGGTGGTGAAGGCTTCTGGGAGTTGCAGTCCACAACTCCTGAGTAAGCCAAGGTTGAGAACCAGTGATGTAGGGTATCATGCCAGTCTGGGTTTAACGAGCTCATCAGGAGGACTGGTAAGTGTTCAGATTTAAGTTTACTTTGCTCTCATCTGTTCCTCTCAAATAGCTGCTTTTCTTGTTAATGTCTTGGATGTGACCTCAGCAGGGACCTGCCTGGGAGAGTCATCTATCTATCCATGAGCTGGGGTGTGTGTGTGTGTCACATGTTGGGAACAGAAGAAGAGCCAGGCTAGGGATGTCTGACAACCTAAGAAGAATGAGTGGTGTGGAATTAGTGGTGATGAGAAGCTGGAAAAGCTGAGGAAACAGCATGAAAGGGTATGAGAATTATAGCCTGCACCAGAGTGTAAAGATTCCTGGGTCAGACAAGTTTCTTGCAAGTTGCAACAGACACATGCTTCTCCCCCTCTCCCACTTTGGGTATTCCCTATCCATTAGTGCTACCCTAGTAAATACTCTTCTTTTTTAGGCCCAAAGCACGGCAGCTTTGAATTGGAGGTGCTAACAGGATAATCCTTTCAGAGATGCATCTTCAAAGCTTCTCTGTTTGCAAAGTCAACTTTGCAGCTTCCAAAGCTGTGAAAGCCGATAATCACACATCCTTTACCACTTAAGCATGCTCTGCTTCTGATTTCCAAGGTACCCATTTGTCAGTTTTGGAATGCCAAGCACAGCTTTGCTGGCAGAGCCCTTTAGAATTCAGCCCAGATCAGGTTGAAACAGCTTGTATCATATTGGGCTCCCATTATGCAGTGAATTGCCAACTCCTGGCAAGCATATCCCTCTATTTCCTAAGTGGGGTTGCCATATCGAAACTGAAAATGGAGTAGATATAATGAAAATGTGACATCTAAAGTGTAATACACTTCTGGTATGTTCTCTGAGTCTGTGACATTCCACATGCAAGAACTTTTGGGCAAAGCAGAATCCCAAAGGAACCCTCTCTTATGTTGCATCTTTTAAGGCAGGGTTAAAAAGCAAGAATTTTGAAAAGGTATAAGAAGAGCTGTGCCTGCTCACTCTGTTTCATTCTTTATGAAGCCAGTCTTGAGGGCCAGTAGTTCCAAATGTTCGGCTAATAATCCCAAAGCCAATGCTATGAGAGAATGAAATGAAAAATAAGCGACAAACATGTCCTTTACTATGCTGGAGATGGAGAATAAGCAGGGGTGAGCATCATGGTCATAGAACTGAGATTTTTACATTTCCTCATTAAAAGTTGAAAGCAAACAATAATTCAGTGTCTGTTTTTTAATTTAGACATTTGCATATGTGCACACACATTCTTCTCTCTTGCACACCCACCCCCATAGCGAGAGAAATAAAATAGTTTGCTGGGGGTGGAGGTGGGGAGATTCTGCTTCTGAAATGGCAATAGGGCCAATGTTCTGTGCTCAGAAGGAAGTTACCAGTCATCTGGATGGAGACCAGAGACGAACAGTGTAGCTCAAAGCAGGCAAACGGTATGACTACAGAACCAGCAGCTACTATGAGGAGATGGATGAGAGGGAGACAGTACTGCTCAAGACAAGCAAACCGTGAGGCTTCAGAATTCAGTGGTACAGTTAGAGCACTTGTTTTAGAAGGGGACTTAATCATCTTATTCCTTCCTCACTTTCTTTAAATGCTAATATGTATTACTTGGAATGATCATATGGAAACCCTTCTCTTCAGGAGGTAATGTGTATTCTACAACATACAATAAACCAGCCCTCCAGCTGGGGGTTCCTTCTGCTATTGCTGCTTTCTGGGACCCTTGAGTTTTGCCGTGTCCTACTCTGGCAGTGCTGGGGCCTGATTCTGCAGCTACAAGGAAAAAGTTGGTGAACAAGGGCTCAGCCTGACCAGATCTTTGCACAAGGAGTAAGTTGGCCAGACTGGAGGACATGGGTGGGATCTGAGGCTTGATTCTAATTGAGCTGATGAAGCATCTGAATGGTGCCAAAATGGTTCAGGGGTAACAGTTTGACCTGCAAGCCCTGCAAGCAAACATGTAGCTTTTTTAATAGAGAAGTACAAGTGCCTGTTCGAAATCCCCTGCTAGCAACTCATCCATCCCCCACTCCTTCTCTTAACTTAAAAATCACCTATTTCTTCTATGTCTCCTGCCCAAAAAGCAATCATGCATGGTCCCAATCTGAAGAGGGTGAGTGGACCTTGAAAGGGTAGTATCTTTGGTCAGAAACACTGAACAAAGTTCTTCACATAGTCCTAGTTCTCAAGCGGCTTTTTGTAAGGAGAAGGGAAAAAACAAGAACAAAATAGAGTTAGCATACCACTTTTCATGGTGACATCTTGTTGAACTCAAGAAAAACAGTTCATTGCCAGAAATCAGTGCTTTAGCCAGGTTCCCACACATTGTTCAAATGTTAGACTAAGCAAATGAAGAAAGAAAGTATTCATTCTTGCAAAAGGAAGGGAAATGGTGGATTCATTCTATTTGGAAAGTATCCGCAGGCTGAAATCTACAAGAAATTTCACATGCAGATCAGTGGAGACTGATCCACAAGGGCAAGTGGGGCGCATTGATTTACCTCAAGTCCAGGTTACCTCTAGCAGTTTCACTTCTGCCTGCCTTCTTACCAGTACAGTTACAAGGGAATCAGGGTCCTATCTGTGCCCCTTTGCTGAAACACTCTGCTACAATCCCACTCTGTGTGTGTGTGTGTGTGTGCGTGCGTGCACGCGCACACACGTGCATGTGCACGCATACGCACACCCTCTGCTCCACCAACCATAATTTTCGGACTACTATGGATTATTTGTCCATTTACCATACATACACGTACCATGCTCAGATATTCTGCCAGGAACCTTGTAACCTACGTAAACTACTCTTACTAGCTCTATTCTGAAAATGGATGGTGAGACTGAAAAGAATCATGTACGCTTCTCTCTTGAATTTCATGAGTCTGAGTAGATTTTAGGTTTGGGTTATACATATAATAAATAATAATTATGTTATCCCTGGGCACCCAGAACCGGGTCATGAGTTCAACACCAAAGGCATTGAACTGGTCTACTTGTCCCAAAACATTAATTCAGTCTCTAGATCAGGGGATCATAAGGACTTTAAGGCAGTGGTCCCCAACCTTGGGCCTCCAGATGTTCTTGGACTTCAACTCCCAGAAATCCTGACCAGCAGAGGTGGTGGTGAAGGCTTCTGGGAGTTGTAGTCCAAGAACATCTGGAGGCCCAAGGCTGGGGACCACTGTTTTAAGGCTCTTCTGGGGGTTGTGGGGGGGGAGGATTTCTATGACATTACAGTTTCTCTGCAACCTACATTGGAACCCACAAGCAAGTTCAAACATGTTTATGTGTAATCTGGCTTTTCTCACCAAATGATTCATAAAAATGTTCAAATCCGCCCATAACAAAAACATAGGTTGCAAGAAAAATATGACATGTCATAGAATCCTACCCTTACGAGTCATTACACATGGGATTGTATGGAAAGGTTTGTTAATGCTATGGAAGAGAACCCTGATAGAGAGAACTGTTCTCTCTCTCTCTCTCTCGCACACACACACACACACAGAGAGAGAGAGAGAGAGAGAGAGAGAGAGAGAGAGAGAGAGAGAGAGAGAGAGAGAGAGAGAGAGAGAGAGAGAGAGAGAGAGAGAGAGAGAGAGAGAGAGAGAGAGAACTGTTTATGCTTTGTAGTTATGTTGAGGGGCAGAAGAGTTATATGTGGATTTTGATCTACATGGGAGTCTGGCACCCCAACCCCAGCATTGTTGAAGGGGAAAGTATATTCATCTTGAATCACTGATATAACTCTAAGTAATCAATTGTCTTCCTAAACAGACTGAACAAATATGCAATCATTCGTACATGGATAGATGGATCTGAGTCTAGTGTCATCTTTGGGTGTATTGACTTGTAATGTTGTCACTTTGTTAGGGTTCTAAAGATTTCCTTACTCAATAAATGAAATACAGTTCATCAGCTGTTCAGTTATTCTTTAGAAAACCTGTAATCATTGCTAGGAGTATCAAGGCAGAGGAAATTCTGTCATAGGTGAGGGTTTCTCTGTTGCTTTGGACTTGACTGGGTAGTAGCAGATGTTTTATGAGAGCTAGAGTGACATCCAGGTAAGCTGAGAATTTTGTGCAAGCCGTAAGCGCTAGCACATAAAAGCTCTTTCCCTCACCAGCTTTACTGTTGACAAAAGGGGTGAGTGTGCATGCTAATATTTGAAACACATTTCTTCCCCAAGGGTAATGTCATATCTGTTTCCATGTGGGTTTCACACATGTAGTGCTTTTCCAAACAAATCCACCTGCAGCTGCTCTTTCTCCATTTTTTTTTCTGTGCAGAATCTTCTGATGATTCCTACATCTCTGCGGGTGAGGATCCGCTGGAGGCACCCATTTTTGAGATCCCTATCCAGGATGTAACAGTCATAGCTGGAACTGAGGTGCTATTCAAATGTATCATCACAGGCAATCCTTCCCCAGAAGGCAAGTGCATGGTGTACAGGCGCGCGTGTGTGTGTGTCATTGATTAATATGCATAGGCAAACATAAGCACTCAATGTAGGCTAGAGTTAAATTGATCCAGGCATTGGAGAGAGCTGTCTTCACTATCTTTGCTGTTGCCTTCTTGATCATGGAGCTGTCTTTGTTTATACTGATTTGAAGCGTCTGCGCCACAACCACCACAGTGGGACTGTACCATTCCAGTAGAGAGTTTTGATTAAGTGTGCTGCCAAGTTTATGTCAAAAAGGATCCTGTTTTTCGGCTTCTGACCGTAGTCTGGGATTACCAGATCAAGAGATGTCTTTTTGTTGCAAAGAAAACAAGGGGGCAAATCTCTTTTGTTTACACTGCACTTCCTAGGTAGATAGACAATTTTTGCTTGTTTGCCTCCCACCAAATTGCTGAGCTGTGCCCATTGGATCTGCTCTGGATTTTGCCATTTGATGTAAAGGTTTCCAAACGCATGGGCCTGTCAGTCTGCTGGAGGAAAAACAACAAAGAATCTCACTACAGTACTTTTAAGCTCCACTCACACTTGAACAAGCCTTTGAAATGTTGCAAGATTTTTTGCTGTTGATGATGAACACTGCAAGCGCCCCCCCATCTTTTTCCTGTGCTGCCACCGAGGTGTGGCCTTGTACTGTATTAGCACTGGCAAATAGCTTAGTGAAAATAACTATGGATACAATAGAAATGTGTTGTTGTTGTTTAGTCGTTAAGTCATGTCCGACTCTTTTTGACCCTCCTGTCTTCCACTGCCTCCCAGAGTTGGGTCAAAGTCATGTTGGTAGCTTTGGTGACACTGTCCAACCATCTCGTCCTCTGTTGTCCCCTTCTCATCTTGCCTTCACATTTTTCCAACATCAGGATCTTTTCCAGGGAGTCTTCTCTGCTCATGAGATGGCTAAAGTATTGCAGCCTCAGCTTCAGGATCTGTCCTTCTAGTGAGCACTCAGCGTTGAGTGCTTCAGAATTGACAGGTGTCAGTGTCTTCTTTTAAGATTTTAAATAGTTCCACTGGAATGCCATCACCTCCACTGGCCTTGTTGTTAGCCAGGCTTTCTAAGGCCCACTTCACTTAACTCTCCAGGATGTCTGGCTCAGGGTCAGCAACCACACTATCTGGGTTGTCCTGGACATCCAGATCTTTTTGGTATAATTCCTCTGTGTATTCTTGCCACCTCTTCTTGATGTCTTCTGCTTCTATTAGGTGCCTACCATTTTTGTCCTTTATCATGTCCATCTTTGCACAAAATGTTCCTCTAATATCTCCAATTTTCTTGAACCGATCTCTGGTTTTTCCCTTTCTATTCCTCTATTTCTTTGTACTGTTCGTTTAAGAAGACCCTCTTGTCTCTCCTTGCTATTCTTTTGAAGTCAGCATTCAATTTTCTGTAACTTCCCTATCTCCTTTGCATTTTGTTTCTCTTCTCTTCTATTTGTAAGGCCTCGTTGGACAGCCACTTTGCTTTCTTGCATTTCCTTTTCTTTGGGATGGTTTTTGTTGCTGCCTCTTGTACAATGTTACGAGCCTCCATCCATAGTTCTTCAGGCACTCTGTCCACCAAATCAAGTTCCTTAAATCTGTTCTTCACTTCCACTGTGTATTCATAAGGGATTTGGTTTAGATTATACCTGACTAGCCCAGTGGTTTTTCCTACTTTCTTCAGTTTAAGCTCGAGTTTTACTATAAAAAGTTGATAATCAGAGCCACAATCAGCTCCAGGTCTTGTTTTTGCTGACTGTACGTATAGAGCTTCTCCATCTTTGGCTGCAGAGAACATAATCTGATTTCAGTATTGCCCAGCTGGTAATGTCCATGTGTAGAGTCGCCTCTTGTGTTGTTGGAAAAGTATGTTTGTGATGACCAGCTTGTTCTCTTGACAAAACTCTATTAGCCTTTGTCCTGCTTCATTTTGAAACCCAAGGCCAAACTTACCTGTTGTTCCTCTTGACTCCCTACTTTAGCATTCTAGTCCCCTATAATGAGAAGCCTCTTCAGCACCGGTGGTTGGTGTATAAACATGGATTACTGTGATGTTGAAAGGTCTGCCTTGAATTCGTATTGAAATCAATCTATCGTTTTTGAGATTGTATCCCAGTACAGCTTTTCCCACTCTTTTGTTGACTATGAGGGCTACTCCATTTCTTCTACAGGATTCTTGCCCACAATAGTAGATATGATAATCATCTGAATTGATTTCACCCAATCCCGTCCATTTTAGTTCACTGATGCGCAGGATGTCCATGTTTATTTTTGCCATCTCCTGTTTGACCACATCCAGCTCACCAAGGTTCATATATCTTACATTCCAGGTTCCTATGCAGTATTTTTCTTTGCAGCATAGGGCCTTCCTTTCACTTCCAAGCACGTCCACAGCTGAGCGTCCTTTCGGCTGGCTTTGGCCCAACCACTTCATTAGCTCTGGAGCTACTTGTACTTGTCCTCCGCTCTTCCTCAGTAGCATGTTGGACGACTTCTGGCCTGAGGGGCTCATCTTCCAGCGTCATATCTTTAAGCCTTTTGATTCTGTCCATGGAGTTTTCTTGGCAAAGATACTGGAGTGGCTTGCCAGTTCCTACTCCAGGTGGATCGTGTTTAGTGAGATCTCACCACTATGACCTGTCCATCTTGGGTGTCCCTGCACGGCATAGCCCATAGCTTCTCTGAATTACTCAAGCCCCTTCACGACAACAAGGCAGCAATCTGTGAAGGGGATAGACATGTGTAGGTTGTCCCTTTCAAGGAACCTAGAAAAGGCAGCCTTCATGTGTTTTCACACTCATCTGTTCCCCATGGAGTAGATATTCTTTCACAATCACACAGCTGGAGCATATGTATGCATCTGCTCTCATCTCTCCTGCCCTCTTGGCCTTTCCCCACAGTGTCCTGGCGGAAAGACGGTGTCCCCTTTCGGAGCAGCACTAGTCGCCCCATCAAAGCGGAGGGAGAACGCCACACCCTGCTGGTCAGGAATGTCCGCACGGCAGATGCCGGTCTCTACACGGTCTGTGCCACCAACGAGGTCGGCGAGGCCTGCTGTAGCGCCATTTTGTCTGTGCGGCCTGGTAAGTATATGAGCCCCTGTGTGGAGGTTGTGCAGAATTTTATTGGGCTGGTAGCAGGACCCAGGAGCTGGTGCTTTAACGCTGAGGGGCTTGTAAAATCAGTCTCCTACAAGCCTGGAAGAAACTGTTTCAGGCCTTGAATCTTATGTCCTCTCTCTCTCTCTCTCTCTCTCTCTCTCTCTCTCTCTCTCTCTCTCTCTCTCTGTGTGTGTGTGTGTGTGTGTGTGTGTGTGTGTGTGAGTGAGTGAGTGAGAGTGAGAGAGAGAGAGAGAGAGAGAGTGGGGGAGGGTTGGGGGCTTCTCTGCCAGCTTGTTCCCTACCGCTGCCGCGGCTGCTGAGAGAGACATGAGGCAGCGTTTACCCTACAAGGCTTGGTTTAGGCAAGCTTAGTGTCTGACTGTCAAACAGCCAGCCGTCTCGAATAAAGGGAAGACGGGAGAGGCGGCCCAGCCTGCCGGGCTGTCAGGACCAAGCACCAGAAAAGAGGCGGGGGGCCGCCGGTCGCCCAGGTGCGTTCCTTATCTGTGTTCTGGTCCATTTACGACGGGACGGGAGGGAGGCTAGGACAGTGTTACTGGCTGCAGTGGTACTAGGGCCGAATTCAAATAATTTCTCTGAAAAGATGCAAATATACTCAATTACCAGCTGATCTGAAATGTGAGCCCCTGCGGGGCTGGACGGCGCAAAGCTAGGCTGAGCGTCCTGGCTGCTGGAAGAGGGGGAAAGGGGGCCCGGGCAGGCTGCTGGCTTTTTGCAGCGGCTCCGTTGTTTCCTTTCCGCCTTGCTCGCCGGATCCGCTTCCTATCCGTCCCCTCTGTGTTGGGCGCTCCCTTTGAAGGGAACTGGAAGCGAGCAGAGAAGAAGGGATTGAGGGATCTTGCGGGAGGGGGGAAGGCTGTGGAAGCCCCATTGCAGGGCCAGCCGTCTTTCCCTTGCATTCTCGCCGTCAAGCCTTAATACGTACTTATTTGGAAGTAAGTCACGCTGTGTTCAATGGAGCGTAATCGCACGTAAGTTTACATCGGATTGAAGCCTTGGTTTAAGGGAGTGAATCAAAGCGGAGTGTGGGCACTGGTTGTTATTCGGCTTATATTAAACTTTTGTATGTTAGGGGGCAGTATTGGAGGGACGAAAAATCAAGGGCATAAGAAGTTCTCAGTTTTATGTTCTCAAAGAAGAGGCAGCCCCAAGTTCTTTCAAGAGGTCTTGCTTTGTTGTTTAAGCACATCAGGCTGAGAGAGGCTGATATTCTCAGATAATTTGATGATCACCCTAGACCTGGTCTGTTTGGGCAGGACAGGAAAAGTAGAGTACAGGATG